ATATAAATTTATTTATATTATATCTTATATAAATATAAGATTCTCAAAATTTCATAGCTTGTAAACAAAATAGAGGAAAATATAAAATGCTGAGCTTCAATTTAAATTTGCAAAGTTGAACTTTTGCCACAATTAGTTTTCCCTTAATTGGATTTAAATTTCATAGAACGCAGAAAAATAAAAATTGCTATTAAATGCTCAGCATCAGTTTAAATTTGCAAAGTTAGACTTTTGCAGTTTTCTAGTTTTCGCTTAGATGAACCGAGCTGCACTCATTTAACCACATGGCTGGGAAAATGTTTCCCTTTTTGTTTTCGACAAAATGAGAACTTTGTGTCAGCCCTGCATGGAAATGGAGACAAAGCCTTTGTCTGGCTGTCAACATGAATTCCTGTTGCGCTGTTTCGAGCTTGCGCCAATTAAAGCTTAAGCTCCTGCAAATTATTCTAACGGCAGTGTACACATGTTTTCCCACTACATAATGCCAATACTCTTGGCCTGGACAATGGCCCGGCCACATGATGGACAGCATTTGTGGCCTGTGGTCTGTCCATTGTCCGCCCCGGAGCTGGCCCAGATAAACTCGAGTGTAGTTGCACTTTACACGACACGGAAATAAAAAGCCAGACAGTCAACTGGGAGCAGAGTTGCATAGCTGCATAGCTGCATTGCTGCATTGCTGCAACCGAATGTGTGGAGAGCTCAGAAATTCTCAACTGGCTGGCGACAGTTTTTCTTCATAAACATAGGTTTTAGTTTCCCCCAACTGACAGTTGGACTCATAACTTGCCAGCCCCTAAGTGTGATTCATATGTTGGCTCGTTATTTTGGGCTAATGGCCAAGGACTTGGCCTGGCCGACAGCAGCCAGCTGCTGGCCGTCTGCCGTCTGTGCCCTGTCGCTCAATATTTCTTTTTTTTTTTTTCTCGCATCACTGCCAGCGAACACAACACAAAAGGTATTAAAATAAATACATATACAATGGCTAATAAAAATTTACATATATTTCCCCATTTGCCTGGGAAGACATGTCCGTTGTCCTTGCCGCAAAGCCAAATGAAACACGAAATTAAAATACCCAGAAGCCACACACAAATAAACAAAAATTTCTCACTAAAAAAAAGAAGGAGGAAATATAAAAGAAATGGGATTGCAGGGAATGTGGTTGATGTGAATCGAGAACAACTGACAGGGCGTAAGACATTTGGGTTACAATTTCCAATCTATCTATTTATTATTAACACTTCAATGGCGTCAAATAAAAAGGAAAACATTTACATACACATACATACATATATATGCACGGATATTGCAAATTTGGAGCAACAAATTCTTAGAACAAATTTCTAATATTATGTTTGAGTGTCAAAATTATTTAATGTGAATTTTTTATTTTTATTTTTTTTTTGTATTTTTTT